CAACAAGAATTTTTCACACCCGCCTTCAACATCCAATGCAGTATTTATTCAGAACGAAGAAGAGATGCTTCTAGAACATGAGCGCAGTGGGGATATCGCGGCCTACTTCGCGCTCGAATTTCTGGACATGCAGTACATCTATTACCTCAGACGATCCTTTGTTTCTTTGGGACGCTCGTCAAACAAAGCTGCAGAAGAGGGTGCTGACATTGACCTTGGTCCCTTGAAAAACATTTCAAGATTGCATGCCCGCCTCCTCGCCTTTCTTGCCCTTCTTAGCTTGGGCCTTTGACTTCTTCCCCTTGCCTTTACCTTCACCATCTGCCCCTTCGCCATCACCTGCTGCAGCGGATGCGGCGGCGGCAGCGTTGACCGCAGAAGGAAGGGGTGCAGGCGTGGTTGTAAACAAGCTCTTCATTTCGGGCTTGGCAGTAGATTTCTTCCTGCCCTTTGTGGCACCTTCTTTGCCAGTCTTTACTTTGACAGGCTTCGATGCTTTGGCTATCTTTGGGGCCTTAGTAACTTTTCGTCGTTTCTTATCTGGCGAACCTTCCGGCTCATCCTCCTGTGCTCCACGCTTTCGCTTTGTCGCGCCTTGCGACTCTTCTGGCGATGCGGTAGCATCCAACGCATCGACGTCTCCGTCGTCGGTTTGTGGATCCTCGTCGATGGCAGGGTTCGAGCCGTCAGACATCACGTCGTCATTCTCTGGCTCAATCACGACGACTCGTCGACCAGCAGTCGTTCTTGAAGAAGCAATATTTCCTCGCGTCTTTCCTAGTCCTCCTTTACGCTTGGTACCCTTTGACTTCCTGGGGACGAAATCGCCATCACGATCATCCTCCTCCTCTTCCTCGTCCTGATCACTCTCAGAGAATATCTCAGCATCGACATCCTCTGGAGGCCCTTCTGCGTCTTCTTCATCCTCATCTACAACAAGAATTTTTCACACCCGCCTTCAACATCCAATGCAGTATTTATTCAGAACGAAGAAGAGATGCTTCTAGAAC